GCGCTGTGGGCGCGCGGGGGTCGGTCCCTGCGCCCGAGGCCGGAGCCGCTCCCGGCAGGCGCGGGGAGGAGGCTGGGCGCGGACGCAGGCCAGGTGCAGAGAGGGGCAGTAACCCTTGCGGAGAGCCTGCGCCCAGCCCGCGGGGTCTGTCTGCCTTTGGCGAACGTGGCCGCGGCCCGGTGGACGAGCGCGGGTCCCAGGGCTGTGCACGCCGAGGGACTTGGCCCCTTCCCCGGGGGCCCAGCAAGCAAGGGAAGGAAGGTGCGCCCTGCACAGGGCCGCGCAAAATGAGGTAGTGGGCACGGAGCCGATGCGCTTTTCCATTGAAACTCCATTGTTGTGTAATTCCAAGATTGAACGCTGGGATCTGATTGAGCCCGATGACCCGTTTGGCCATTATATCTGTATTAAAAGAAGTAATTACTCTGCTACCAGGAGATTCTAACTACAGCCAAAGGGTTGGGGAAGCCCACGGAGAAGCAGCCTAACTTGAGAAAAGGGGCGGAACAGGTCACATAGCTAGTACTATTACTTAAAAAATAAAAGAGTGACCATCACAACCCATTACCCCCCCGCCTCCCCCACGGGAGCAACTTTGAGTTAAATGAACGTTGCCCAGCAGGGAACGGTTTGTTGTGGCAGTGCAGGTCTGTTAGACCCGGTCCAGATTTAAATGAAACATGCATGGTCAATGTAGCTGGTTCATGGAATAAACGCTGAGTCGCACTGGTTAAGATGCTTCCCGGTGAGGCAACTTGGTTCGGATTCAGTTCAGTGTCATGAGCAGTTTTTAATCCCGGAAACGCAGGGTGAAATGTTTCATCAAACGTTCTTCCCTTCCAGGGAACAGGCAGAGGTTGAGGTGTTTTCCCTGCTAGGTCACACCTCCTGGGGTTCTCAAAAAGCTTGGTCTTTGGGCCTTCATTTTTACTGATTAACTGGTTAAACTGGTTAACACAGAAATAGAGTTAAGATTACCCAGAGAAATACTTTGTAAATGACTCATCAATGACCAGATTTTTACCGTATTTGACTAAGCAACTAATGTCCCATCCAAAAGAACTCATGAAGGCAGAAAAAAAATCCTCTTTATTTAATGTAAAATATTCTGAAAAGAATAAGGGACTAAAAAATGGAAACAGAAGGTTGTTGCCATAGTCGCAGGCGTATCATAGAGACGTTGTGCAGCTCAGAATCCACAGGTAGGCTACTGAACCGTCTGAAGACCTGATGGCATTTCCCACCTCTGTCAGGATACCTCAGAGAGGTGGGTTTCCTAGCTTGGGGAGGAGAAAGCTAGCTTGACCTTACTGGTGACATAATTTTGTGGAGAACATTTTTATATTTCTGGCATCCCTTTAAATGTCCTCATCTTCTAACTGATCCCCTCTGTATTCGCCCATTTTCTGTTGCTATAACAGAATGCCTATGGATGAGTACTTTGTCTAAAGAGAAAGGTTTGTTGAGCTCGGAGTTTTGGAAGCTGAAAGTCCAAGATCGAGACGCCCTCGTCTGTCCAGTGCCTAAGGAGCCCCTTGGCTGCCTACCTGGTCAGCGTGGTCATGGCGGGAAGAGACCACATAGTGGGGCAGAAGCTGGAGGGATGCAGGGACTGCGCTCGATCCTTGTAGAGCAGCTCTCTCTAGTCACTGGGATCCCTGGATAAGGACTTTAGTCCCTCCTGAGGGTGTTTCCTCCATGAACTAATTACCTTGTGTAAAGCCTCACCTGCACACCCCAACGCTGAGAGCCAGCCTTTCAGCACATGAATGTTTAAAGGACTCAAAGCGTACCGTGCATGGCACCTTCTTCTCACTAGCAAGTACATCCCATGATGGTAGTAGCTTTACCTATCTTGGTTGTTGTTCTATTCTCAGCTCCTAGAATTCTGCTTGACGGTTGGTTGGCATTCCATAAATATTTGATGGATGAAATGATTAAGGCAGAACCTCGTCTAAGTGTTTAAGGTATGCCTGTCCAGAAAAAGGGTATGGTCTACCCCATCTGATCTTCTGGCTGTCTCCTGCTCTCTACACTTGATAGCGCTTGTCTGAAAGTCAGAGGGGGAAGGGAGAAAGAGGAGCCTTACTATAAAGACCATGTGAGTCCTGAGCCGGACCGGAAAGCCATTGCACATTCTACTTTTCCTTTATCCCGCCCCCTTCTTTTTGCTTTTCTTTGCTCAAATTGAGTACTTACATCACTCATGAGTAACACATACAAGGATGGTGATTGTGAATGTATATTGGACCATTATTATGTGCCAGACCCTGAGCAGTGTGTTGAACATGCGTTATTTCATTTACTGCTCATTGCAACCCTGAAGCATGCTGTAATCCTACAAACCAGATGGTAAACAATTGTGCTCTGAGTTATTTGAAAATGGAATGGGTTGGCATGATCTAGAGGTTCCGTTTGAAGGATTTAGAGTAAATGGAATAGAGATATCTCTTTCAGGGTTCCAACCTGGAATGGATACCAAGACAGATGGCTGAGCTGCGTTTTCAGGAGTTTAAGACAGAACAGATATCCCTCTGGCCTCTTCCACGTGGCATAATTTGCTGACGTGTTTGGCCATTGAGCATGACTGTGATGGACAGCGGAGAGTGTGTTGATGTGGCTTCAATCTGGAATCTGGAACAGGTGCAGTCAAGTGAGTGTTTCTCTGAGTTTAGAAGCAGTTCCTGCCTGGGGCAGTGATTTGAATAGATGCAATCTTAAGGGTTCTCATAACCCTGCAGGATTTCTCAGATTATATGCAAAGACTATTAGAGATGCAAGACAAATCCTTAGAGCAGTGGTTGGGTGATCATGAGTCATTTTTACTAATAATTAACACTTGAATAGCACTTTGCGTACAGCTTGACAGTGGGTTGGCTTCCACATTCTTTATCCTATTGAATTCTTGTTTAGCCTGGAATATCCTGGATGTCCCTTGGAGGTGATTCTCACTGAGATCCCTTGCTCTGCACACAAAACCTTTCTGCTGAGGTCTCCTCACGGGGTGGACAGCCCTGTCAGTGAGATTCTCACAGGGGGATTTAAGCCTTGGCCCACAGGACACGAATGGTTTGCACCAGCTCTGGAGGTGCACAGCTCTTGCAGCAGTCTGCTCCAGTTGTTTTTGTAAATTGCCCAAGATTTGTTATGGAACCAGATCCTTTACCTCATCTGATGTCCCTTACTATGTGGAGACATATTTGAGGGGAGACTCAGACTCCAGCCCCTGCACTCTGAATTCCAGGAGGCATGGGTCAACCTGGAGTTTAGTTCTCTGGGAGCAAGGTAGGGGAGCAGCTCTTTACACCGTCCCCACTTACTCATCCTACTGATCCCTTTCTTCGTTAACATGGGCTGGGTACGGTGTTTTCCCTTTAATTTCATTATGAAATTCATATAACATAAAATTCGCCATTGTAAAATTCGGTGCTTTTTAGTGTTCTGAACAATATTGTGCAGCTGTCACTTCTGTCTACACTCAGATTACTTCCATCATCTCCAAAAGAAGCCCTGCACCAATTCGGTAGTCATTCCAACTCCCTTTCCTCCCGGCCATTGGCAAGCACCAATGTCCTTTCTGTCTCTAAGGATTCACTAGTTCTGGACATTCACAGAAATGGAATCATGTGATATAATCTGTGTCTGGCTTCTTCCACTTCACGATTTCAAGTTTGGGTGGGCTTTCCAAGTGATGGGTTGTGGAACGTGGTCATCCCATTGAAATCCCTGTGTAGCTGGTTTAGCTGAGCTTGAACTTAGAATCTGGCTGCAGGGTCAAAGTCTCATTTACCCAGTCTTCCATTAAAATTGTATCACAGAACTATATGATTATGGAAACTTCATTTCATGAGGTGAGGCGATCTAAGAGCTAATCTTGTGCAGAAATCCTTTAGCCTCCTCATAATCCCCAGGAGTTCATTAAGGATATGGGAAGCGATAATTTCTAAAACTGCTTTCAACTTCAAAATATTAACTTGATTTTTTGGTGACAGTCTATTCTCTGCTGCCTCAAGCACGGACTGTTGGACAACAGGTCCTCACCACTGAGAACAGGGCTGGTTTCCTCTGCATCTTGGTCAGTCAGCACCGCTACTGCTCCTCTTCCTGCTGTGGGTGGTGCCGGTCGCATTGCTCCTTCAGGAAGAGCCTGGGGCCAGAGCTCTACAGTTGAGAGGTCACTTTAATGTGGTAGTAGTAAGTATTCAACTGTGACTGGGTATCTCGTGTTTGTTGGGGTATCGTTTCTAGAAGAAAAAATGGGCACAGTCTTTGTGTACAGCAGGGGTGTGGGTAAATAAATTGGTGTGTACCTGTATGAAACGGTGAATTGCTGTTCCAAATAATATAGAAGGGGAAGATCTGGTGACCCTACAAAAAATGGCAAAATGGTAGCATCTCAAATTTTGTGAAA